CATGTCAAGAACCAAGGATGGAAGCACCTATGATCAAAATCCTACTATATATAATTGGCTAAGTGTGTCTGTTAGCGTGTATGTGTGTGTTTGACCGAAAATTCATAGCGCGCGCACCAGCTGTCGTCAGAATTTGATTTCAAGAGATGATATAGGGGAGGTACGTGAACATATCAATAAACAATATAATCTGCTTTCCATTTAAAGCCTATGTACTTACTACAGCCCGGCTACACTCAGTCTCAATTAAGCCTACGTTGACATGAGCGACCTCAACCTCTTGTCCGTAATTTTGCCTACCGTGTAAACCTGCCCGTCTGCAAATGAAGTGACAAGGAAGCTCTTGGAATTAACAAACCGCTGAGAAAACCGGTTAGCTGGTAGAACATGAGCCGTCAATATTGCAATGCTATGATTGTGATAATGCGCAGAGGGCTACATAAACATTTGAGTAAGCACGAGGTAATTTCACATGGTGCTGCAGTGGCGGTCTGAGGAGGAGGAAAGGATGTGAAGGGGAAGAGAAAACTCAACGGTGATCAGAGCTATAGTACGAGTAACCTTCAGACGTCATCCAATGTCATGACATGATTTTGATCATGCCCTGTAGTACATAGAACACCTTTTTGTGCGTACGCATCTCCTCCCTCAGGTGTTGGGGTTACAGATTCAAGGGGGCACAGCGAGGCATAAAGCTTACAGAAAAGCGAGGTCGAGGCGGTTGCTGGGGGAACAACCTGGTATGATTATATACCAAGCCTTTTTTGGAAATGATTGACACTTATTCATCTGTCCGTCTGTCCGTGTCCCCTCCTTCTATAGCGAAATTCCTACAGCATCTGGTGACATTCAGAAAGTACAAAACACTTCTCTGGTGGGCGAACCTCCGCTCAAAGTGAGCGGCACACGCGCCGAATTCGGCTACACTGATGGCAAAAGGTTCGAGTTCGGTTAGAGCAACACGAAGTGGGAGAAGTGGGAAAAGGCGTGCACTGATCATGAGTTGATATGTCTAATATTGGGGATCTACCTA